ATTTTAAGTGTGCAAATGGGTAGAGATTTGTGAGGAGAATTATAGAGATCATTCGAGGTTTATAAAATTATTTTCCTTCGGTTGCTTCATGAAATTTTGGTAAATATTACGACTTGGCCTTGTAACATATTTATTGTAAAAATACGCTAAAGTTATTGCCTTTTGTTTGAAATCTTCTCTCAATTACTGACTATGAGATGGAGTATCATAAGTTCAATCTGATAGCCTTTGTGTTTACATGGGTTGATATACTGAAACAAATCAAATAACAACCAAACCAGTTTGCTATATTGATTCACGAAATAGAACTGCAAACAACTAAAATTCAGTAAAAGGACAGCTGAAAGATAAGAGAGAGGGATGAGAAAACAAAATACACCATAGAAGAAGGGGACGAGAAGTACAACTCAGAGAAAGGGATGAGGGAATACAACCACTTCATAATAGTTGGCATAAAACTTTATTTCTAACCCCTAGTCCTTTAGCAATTGTTAATTGGGCTTGGATTCCAAAAGGTTTCATTCACCAACCGAATCCGGCCTGGATCACAACACATACATTATTCAATATTTGGTCTCTCGTGATAAGTCAACATTGGTAGACACATAACTAAATTGACATTTAAGACTTATCTCGATTCTTATTGTCCCACTTCTCCTTTTCCTATTGTCTTATATAGAAGTGAATCTAGACATGACACTTAATTTAATTAATTATAATACACTTCATTTATAAAAATATAGTTAGAATGAATATTTTATACTCGTAGTAATACTACTATCCTAGTCTGCATATGATATCATACGTGTATTTTTTAAATTAATATTGTGCAAAACAAACAAAAAGCTCAGTTTCAGGATCCAGAGTATATATTAAAAATAATTGTTCCTCATAGTAACAACCAATCAAATATTTTCTAAAGAATATTTATAAAGTTTGATCAATTATGTCATTTTCATAACCATCAAGTTACGTCATTTTCCAATTAGAACATTGCCTTTCCTTAAAGTTGCACTTCATATATATTCCTACTCTTAGCATAGTTAAAAGTAGAATAAAAGAACCTAACTGCAGAGTGTTAAAAAGGTCCCGTAATCAAACTCTTTTCTTTTTCCTTCCCAAATCTCGTCTACAAAGCCAATTTTCAACTTATGCCTTTACCCCTTTCATTTTTATATTTTTATCCCCCCATTCCAAATTGGTGATATTTTGATTTTGCCAATCCAATTCAACGCACACGATCGTTGAAATGGAGGGAGTACTAAATATTAGGAGGCAAATATTAAAATGAGAATACTTTAGTTAACCATAATTAAGTGATAAATAAAAATCTATGCAATAAATCTCTTCATACAATTTATTTGCCATATTTTTCAATTTGAGATACGGCAAAATGTTCGATACCATTCTATTTTGTAAAACTTTCATACACTTACACGAATTCAAGTAAAAATTAATTTTGATTTAAATGTTAATGTGTTATTCTTCTGGCAAACTAACTTTTAAATTATTACTATTATTTTTAATTTTTTTGTCACCACAACTAATATAAGACATATATAAAAATCTATATCTATATCTACATCTATATCTATATCTATATTTATACTATATTAAAAGCACGAAGGCCCTTAGTGAAATATCGTTCACTTTTTTTATCCCTTAAATATAGATTTCACATTGAATAAAATCGTCATTTAAATTTTCTCCTAATATTTAGGAGTTTTAGATTAGCTAAATTTAATGCATTAAATTAAATCATTTTCTTATTGAATTAGGTAAGAAGTGCTAATATTTAAAACTTTAAAATCAATTAAAAATTTACCTTATATTGTATAAACAGGAAGAAAAAAAATATAGCATATTGGCAACTTAGGAGGATTCTATCGGTTCTGAGGATTGATGGCGAACAAAGAAAGAATTGGAGGTCTTCAAGCATGTCTTAATTCAACTATGATTTTACCAACTTTTGTAATGGAACGCAGTTGAAGGACTCTTTTTGCTTGTTATTAATTTCTTTTTAGGCAAAATACATAAGGTACCCCTCAACTATGGACCAAATTACTATTACACATTTTTTGCGAAAAAAAATTACCTTACACACTCAACCTTTCTAAAATGTAGCTAAGACACACCACTTTTTTCTTGACCAATTTTTCAAAACATGTGTAATATCACACACCAATAATATTATACCACGTGTCATTAATTTTTTAAGCATAAAATAATTTAAAATTACAAATATACCCCTCAACCTTCCCTTTCAATCTCTCTCTTCTCTGCCTCATCTCCATTGGCGCCGACCACCATAAAAAAATTACAATTATCACCTTCCAATTACAAACCAAAATTAGATACCCAAGCAGATTAATCCCAAGTTTTGGAGTCGAAATTCGAATCTAACACAAAAATTATGACCCCAAACTCCAAACACCATTAAAGAAAGACGTTGTCGGAGTTTTTATCAATTTTAACTTTTCTCTAAATTCTCTTAATGAATGTTAACCGTGTAAGAGATCATTTCACAACAAAGATCTTTCATAACATATCAAGCAGAGAAAGGTCTCATGTATTTCCTAAAATAGAGCAGATGACATTATTTTGCTCAACCTGACGAGAGGTCAAAGAAAACGATCCTAATATACTCTTCAAAATAAACAATCAAAATCATATCTACATGATTTTCTTAGTTATAGAGTCCACTTAATTTTCTTTATCAATTTCTTCCAAATCCCTTTACATTATTATTTTTCTTAAAATTATTGAGAGAGCAGATGGAAAAAAAGTGTGTGGAAGAAGACGGAAATGGGGAAGGGGGAGTTTCAGTGGACTAACACAAAGGGAAGGGGCTCTTGATAAGATAAATTGGGGAAAGGATGGGGTCTAAGGAACCAAATAATGTTTAAAAAAAGAAAATATTAAAAGTTTGACACATGTCATTTAAATAATGATTGGGACAGAAAATTCACAGTTTTACGCGCTTACATTTTTTTTGTCAACAAACACATATGACGTAACAAAAGTGGTGTATCTTAGTTGCACTTTAGAAAGGTTGAGTGCGTAAATTAATTTTCATCCGTAAAAAGTGTATAAAAGGAATTTGATCCATAATTTAGGGGGTAACTTATGTATTTTGCCTTCTTTTTATGAAGTTTTTTGTTAACAGGACTATACACACGATGAAAGAACAAAAAGAAAAAGGTTTATATGTGAACCAATTATCCTCAAGTCAGGTCCGTTTTATTTTTAGTGTAGCTTTTTAATCTAAAATTAAATAATTATCTTTCACAATTTTTCTTAAATATTTTTCGGACAGAGAGAATTGGATGAAGCTGATATAAAATTTTAAAAGTATGTTTTATACAACGTACAGTCGTACACATACATGGCTACAAAGAAATTATGAAATTCATTTTTAGTTTTTATTATTTGGCCGTTTTTAGCACGCTTTATGGAATTAAAATATAAATATAACAAAATAAAGCATTGATAAAAATTTAGAGAAAAATACACGAAAATTATTTTTTGTAATTTTTTTCTCATAAATATATAAAAATATAAAATGAGAACTGATTATAAACACATAAAAAAACTAAAACACTACATCCGTGAGTTGAAAGAATAAATTCTAATTTTAATTTTAACATGAATTCTATATTTTCACTCCTTGGGATAGTATTAACGCAATAGCTGGATTCTACTTTTGCAGTAGTGTGTTATTCTTTGCTAATTCGTCATTAACAATTCCTATAGTATTTCTTATTGATTAAAAAAATAAAATAACATGTATTTTACTTGCGAAAAAAAAAGAAGAGGACGTCTTATGTTAGTTAAGTTAGGAGTGCTTATCGGGCGGATTAGACGGATAATTATACTTAACGGTTCGATTTAACGGTTATCGGATTATAAATATAGTAATCCGCTAGCCATCCAATAAGACAATGGGCGTATTGGTATCACATTAACAATTACCGGATGGCTTATCGGCTAAACCAAATAGAAATTTTTTGAACAATCATTCAATCAATACTAAATTTTTAATACCATCTAAGATCTAACCAAACGATATTTTTTAGTTGAAGAGTCTTCAAGACTACTCATATTGTCATACACGTATTAACCAATTTTTTAATACCATCAAGACTACTCATACAAACATACACATATTAATCATTGGGATTTCGATTTTTCAACTTCTCAGTTCTCAATTCAAGAGAGAGACAAGACTGCCGACTTCTATGTCTCTATTAGCCGCAGACAATTGAGAATTAGAAAATAGAAATTAGGGATTTAGCCATTTAGGATTTCAATAGTACTTTATATACATAAGGGTAAAAGTGTAAATATAAAAAAATTTAACGAGTTAATGGTTTACCCGATAAGAAAATTGAGTAATCCGCCCCCAAACCGTTAATTATAAAATCTCAATTTGTTCACCATCCATTACCCCGATAATCCGATACCAATAAATCAATAAGCCATCGATTCGATTCGGTTAACGATTTCGGTTCAGTTTTGAACAACCTTAAGTTAGGTGACCTTGTTTGTTTGTGTCTTTCAATATTTTTTTAGAAAACTCATATCTTCAAAGTTAAATGGTGTTATTGAAACTAAAAAGGATGCATGATAAAAATGTGAATTGAAGTAATGAAATTATAAAATTGGATTAAATTTTATGTCGAATATATTTACTAGGATGATTAAAGACTTATATAATTTTTTTTTTATTGAGTTAGCTAAATAAAATCAGTAATCATATTTATGAAGAACTTACAATTTTTTTACGTCAATCTTATAGTTCAAGTAATATAATATTTATCTAATTTTTTAATATTTTGTATTCATAGAGATGGTATACACGTGTAAGGCGATAAGGTGAGAAGAAGGAAAAAGAAAGAAAAGAGGACACATTCAAAATTAGAATAGAAAAAGCCCCTATGATATCTAAAATATGCCCACATTCATTTCCGAAACTCTTATTATTCTCTGTCTCCACTCTCCATTCTGTCCTTCCTTACAGCAGCCCCTTGATCCTCGCTCCTCGATGGAGCTCCCAATTTCTCTCTTTTCCCGCTATAAATACTCATCTCTCTCTTGAATTTTCCCTACCCAATTCACTCAAAATGCAGAGCACAGCAATCTCATTTTCTCCCTCAATTTCTCTCCCTTCAAAAAACCGTCACAATCTTCTTTCTCTTTCACCTTCTCGTCTCCCGCTTCGGTTCGGTTCGGCTAATGGCTTCAGTACTACAGCACCTCATAAACTCAACTCCGTTCGCTGCTCTTCTTCATCATCCAAGTTGAACGGAAGCGGATGGATTTCGGATCCTCTGCCGGTTCCAGAGCGCGATTCGGGTGGAGTGACGGTTCGGGTGACGTCGTCGGAGCCCGAAATCAGTGCCGGTGAGGAAGAGCCTCCAAAGTCTAAACCTCTGGCGGATACTTTGGTTCTCGGATCGCTATTCGGCCTTTGGTATATCTTTAATATATACTTCAACATTTATAACAAGCAGGTCTGTCTTTTTTTCCAGCACATGTGTTGATTTGTATTTTGTACTTTTAATTTGAATTACTTGTTTCTTCGTTAGTTGATGCATTAGTATTTTCTCTGAGTATATATGCATCTCTGTTTAATTTAACAAGGCATCTGAGTCTCATGAATAGGGGCCGCCCAAGAAGATTGGTGGCCTAAAGCCAGTTTTTAATTTGGGGCCTTTTAGAAGGGAAAAAAAAAATTATTATAACATCGATGATTTATTCCGATGTTCCTACACATAGAACAACACAATTTAGGCAATTATCGCACAATAACTCACTTAAACCAGCAAAATATAGAGCGAGTAATGTGCTAAAAGTCTAGAATTTTGGCCTAACATCAGTTGTTAATAGTTTCTTTTATAAATAATTTAGTCTCTCCTAAGATATTGTTGATCTTAGATAATAGAACCAAATTCATATATATACCTCACTAATGATGTCACTCGTAAAATTTAAATAATGAAAAGTTTTATATTCGCGACAAGGGTTTAGGGGGGAGTGATTCTCTTTCTGCATTTTTTGCTCAAACGGTTACATCACTACTAAATTAAAAGTTATCTTGATTTTTTATAAAATATTTTATTTTTTATTTTAACATACCCAATATATTTAGACCCTACCTCTAAAGATTGTTGTGAGATGTATTTGATCCAACTTACCTTAATTAAATATATTGGGTTCGAGTCTTGTGGTTAAAAAAAATCATGTTAAAGCGTGTTCTCTGTTTTACTAGGCCTTACACGGTACGAATCTAAATTAGTCGGGATCTCAATACAAATACGAATAGAAAAACAAAAGAAAAATTTGGGGCCCTCAAAATTTGGGGCCTAAAGCCTTTGCTTTAGTGGCTTGACCCTTGGGCCGCCCCTGCTCATGAATCACGTCAGAGTTTCTGCAAAAAATTGAAAAAATATATGGAGAAACGTTGTCTAAGTTTTTTGATTTTTTGGGCGAATAAGTTTCTTTTTAAATAAAAAACGTCATTTTCACTCACAACCCTTTTTAAGAAATTGCAACTATATGAACATTTTTCCTTTTGCATGGTAGAAGTTATTTTTCCTACAAAAGTTGTGCAAATGGTTCAGAATATAAACTTGAAATCTGTCACATATAAGCATTGTGTTCTCATTTGCAATGTTGGAGTACGTGATGTTCTAAAAACTTTAACTTTGAGTTATGTATTTTGTTTCTTGATTCATTGTTGAGCCTACATTTAGCTGTATTTTGCAACTTGATTGAGGTGATTTTGGATATACATGACTGCTGATTGGCTCTTGAGATATTGCAATGTGCATCAACGATGAAAATACTTGTTCTCTGCAGGTGCTGAAAACCTTCCATTACCCAGTTACAATAACTCTTGCGCAACTTGCTGTTGGCACTATCCTTGTTATTTTCATGTGGACGTCCAATCTGTACAAACGGCCAAAAATCAGTGGCGCACAGGTATCTTGAATGTGCTGGATTAACAATGTTTTGGTTTAAATCCAGATTATGTACAGAAGTTCTGGTTTAAACTTCCAATTGGCAGCTTGCTGCAATTTTGCCATTGGCAGTGGTGCATACCTTGGGAAACCTTTTCACCAACATGAGTCTTGGAAAAGTTTCTGTATCATTCACGCACACTATTAAGGCTATGGAGCCCTTCTTCTCAGTTGTCCTCTCTGCTATGTTTTTAGGGGAGGTATGCATTTTGATTGATTATCTGCTATTTATGTTTCTTTGCAATGGTGTTATATGCATATTGTGACATGAATGACGAAGAAAAGTAGAATTATTTTTTATTCTTTCTTTCTGCTAGCTTTGTTTTAATTGAAGTCATATTTATGCATGCAGTACTTATAAGAAATCGTAATTTTTTCAGCATATGTTTCAGTGTTGTTGTCTCTGTAATTTATATACATAATTACTACAAATCTATCATGTTCATGCAGTTCCCTACATTATGGGTTATTTCTTCCCTTGTACCAATTGTTGGTGGAGTGGGACTGGCATCTCTGACTGAGGCGTCATTTAATTGGTCAGGAGTTTGAATCCTCTGTTCTTTTTATAATCCATATGATTCTCTTTTGTTTGTTTCTTCTTTAGCAACAAAAGTGGGAGGTTTTAGAACATAGTCATCACTTCAAATTAATATCTAGTAGTTGTTTTGTTGATTATCAGGGCTGGCTTTTGGAGTGCAATGGCCTCTAACTTGACCAACCAATCTCGTAACGTTCTCAGCAAAAAGTTTATGGTTAGGAAGGAGGTAAATTTGATCTCTGTTTGCTCTCTTTGATCAGGTTATGTAGAAAGTGTGTGCGAAATTTGAAGGTTGACTGTATGTCTCAAACTTATACAGCATTGCAGAGTAATACTGAACTAGTAGTTCAGAGTTTGGTTGATCTTTTCCCTTTGTAATCAAGTAACTAGCTTGTTTTCTACAACTAGTCTTAGGGTACGCGCTCTGCGTGTGTACCTACACTAATGAGTATATAATATTAAAAATTACATCAACATTTTTAACCATATATTTGAGCTATAAAATAAAAACAAAAACAAAAAATATAAGTTCCCGAAAATGATTAATGTTGATCGAAAGAGAACTTTGTACATATTCAAGTAACCATTTCTAATTGCTTTTAATGAATTTAAAGTCTACAAAAGAGGACTTCCTATATAAATAAAAAGTGGACTTTTTTCATACATTTAGAGTACACGCTTTGTGCGTTTATCTCACGTGTTGTTATATATCATTTTAAAAGTATTTATTGAATTTGATGTTGAGTCATAGAGTATTATAATTGTGAAAATTAGGTTATTTATATCTGGTTATAGTATTTATTATAATGTATATTTACATTTTGGTACACGAATTTTATAGAGGTCGCGTTTGATTAAAGGATAATGGATATTCTATTGTATACCCGGAGAATCAATCATAAATTTTCATGTAACGTGTTTTTCTATTTTTATTTTTTTTATTTTTAAATTATATAAAATTTATGGATTTTAATTCTATGAACGGTTACAAATCTAGAATTAAGAATAAGGAAAACTGAAGAAGTGTGGATCCACTTTATTGACTTTAGTTATAATTTCTACTGTCTTTCTCTAATTTTATTTTTATTTTTACTAAGATAGAATTAAGTGGTTGTAATTCTGGGCTAATGAGTAATTCAAATATACAACAAGTAATAATTACTTTTTACTCATTCTCTGTAGATTATTTTATTTTTGGTATTATTTATCTTTTACAAATTATTATATTACATAATTTAACAACGAAAAAAATTTGCAAAAAGATATAAGAAAGAATTTTGAATGCTTAAAACTCCTAAATATTAGGAAAAATCTTAAATTCTCAAAAAAAAGTCTCGTGTACTGAAGACATCGAATGTCAAACAAATTGACAGTTTTGTTACTATCGTATCCTTGTTTAATTTGGAAATTGATAAGTTCACACCTACTTTGTCTTAGTTTAATAACAAACTTTGAATATCAAAATAGGAATTTGAAAATGCATGTCTTAATCGTGCATATTAAATTTTAAATCATAAATATTGACTACCATATATAGTTGTAATTAGAAAAATACTGCTTTTGAATTTCAAATATGAGAACTTATACTTGTTTTAAATAAGGGAAAAAATATTAACTAAATTTTAGTTAAAAGTAAAGTCTTAAGTAATTAGGAGATAATTTAAATAATTATTTCTAAATATTAGGGAATTAATTAAATGATTCGATTCCTAAATATTGGGAGATTAATATAAATGACTATTTTGTCTAGTGTATACTCCATTTTTAAAGGGTAAAAAAGACGAACGATATTTCGCTAAGAGTCTTCGTGCTTTTAATATAGTATAGACTCTTTTTGCCTTGAGAAAAACTCCAAGTTATGTTTTTTTGTTCTTTTCTTGTTTCAATACTTTGTATTGCTATATAATATACAATTTTTTAAACAGGAATCATTGGATAACATTACTCTCTTCTCAATAATCACTATCATGTCCTTCATCTTGCTGGCCCCTTTCGCCTTTTTCATGGAGGGCGTTAAGTTCACCCCTGCATACCTTGAAGCTTCTGTAAGTGATTTATGAGGGGGAAATTTATACACCCTTGTACACTATTCCTAACCTGATTGTTTCTTTGACCTAAAAGTGCAAAGACCGATTTTCAAAATTATTTTTTGCTTGCTTTGGTTCCAGGGATTGAATGTGAACCAGATTTACACGAGGTCTCTCCTTGCAGCTCTTTGCTTCCATGCTTATCAGCAGGTATTCCTGAAGACCTATGCCCTGATTTTGTTTGAATGTTAGCCTTTTGGTTAGAAGTAATGTTTGTGTTTATATAGTTTTGACGAACTAGCAATTTCACATAACATTAAACTGTTCACTGTTGGTGCATTTAACTTTTTGATAGACATACAAAATTATTGTAGTTTTGGGCAATATTTAGTATAAGAAGATCGAATAAAAGATACAAATGTAACTTTTTACTTTAGGTTTTGACGAGATTGAGAGTACTGCAACCTCATGATTCTATAACATGTAACACGATGTGAAAGGCATGGCTCTTTGTTGGTATTTAGTGCAATAGTTCTTAGTATTTAGTTAGGGTCTCCAATTTGCTGCTTTCTCCTGACGTCTTTGTTAAAGAAGATTGTTTTATAAATGCTATAAAACTCTTCTGTCGTCAGGCATACACCATTAAGATTATTGTTCTAGAGAATAAGAAGTTGCCACCAGGAACGGAAGTACCTCTTATTAGATGCGAGTTGATCAACTAAGCAGATTCACTCTCTGATTAAACATAATAGACGTAACCATTTTCGCAACTCTTATAAAGCTGAGGTTGTTGAGGTTCTCCGTACCTTAACCGGATTTTATTTACTTATAAAGGACCCACATATATTTTCTTCTCCTCTTCTGATGATTCATGGCTTGTCATGCTAACTAGAACACTCAACCGAAATCATTCTGAAGAATGTTAGATAAGTATATGTTTCAAAACATACAGATAAAAAATAAGTATATGTTTCAAAACGTTAACATGCTATTTGCTTTCTCCACTTTAAATCTGACCAAGATTGAGGGCAGTATAAAAATATTTAATTAGATGACTTAGCTTTTTTCCACAACTAATGACCTAGTTACTAATTAAGAAAGAAGCAAACATATTCAACAGTAGGGTGCTGTATATTCTGTTCAAACGGTAAAGATCAGCGGAAACAAGAAGAAATATCTAGAAATTGTGGCTGAAATTTCTAGCATTATTTTTTTTAATAAAGGAAACTTTGTTGTTATATAATATTCTTTCCACTTTATTTAGACCACAATGATTTGTGGCAACCAACTATGGCTTTGAAAATGTTTGGAAGCTTGATCATAACATGTCTTAGAATCAGGCCCATGCAATTTTCAAATGCTGCAACATATACCTTCCGCGTGGTTGAAGAGGTCAGGGTAAGGAGAAGGCTTTTAACTTGCATGCTTTTTGGAAAGCAAAGGGTGGTGATTTTAATTTCTTAAAGCACAATAGAGTGAGAAGTTGTCTGATGCATTAACTCATTCCATACAATGACTGTTTTGATATCTCCCTTTGCTCGAGAGGACATGATGAAAAAGTTCTTTATACTTTGTCATTTTACGTTTGGATAAGAGAAATCTTGATGAATTTAAATGCAATCTGCTCTTTCATTTATAAAGTTAGCTGATTATGTGACATCTTGCTGACACGACATCTTCTGGTGTAGGTTTCATACATGATATTGGAGAGGGTGTCTCCTGTTACCCATTCCGTGGGTAATTGTGTGAAGCGAGTGGTGGTCATTGTGACTTCAGTTCTCTTTTTCCGCACGCCTGTCTCCCCAATTAACACCATAGGTATGGCAGCTTGCACTTTTCTTTTATCAACTCACACATGATGAGAACAAAAAGCAAACCCCCTTCCCCTTCAGTCTGAAAGGTGTAGTATCACTTTTCTTATTATAAATCCTTTTTTTCATACTACTCTATGTAGGCACTGGGGTGGCACTTGCTGGAGTTTTCCTGTATTCTAGAGTGAAGGGCATCAAACCTAAGCCAAAGACAGCTTGAAAATGATCAGTTTTGTTGAGAAATTGTAAATCATCAATTACGAATCAAAAACTAGGTGATAGCTTAGGCACGATCTTCATTTTGTTTTTTTATAGCGATGTTGGGTAGAGTTATTCCTTTTTCTAGATAGTCTTATACATTATTTCTGCAGATTTGATGATTATACATCATTCTCATCTTTGTTATGCTCAATGGTTTGTAACGTATTTCATCCCCCCAGGAAATGAAGATTTCCCGAATTGGGGACAGTTTCCGCATCCAAACAATTTCGTTCTTCCATTATGGGGTTTTATTCTGTTCATTGAGAAATGGAAATCTGCGTCTTACTTGCGATGATTGTTTCCTCAGTTTCAAAAGCAAAAACAGGGACTAGGAACGAAAGCATAGATATTATGGGGATTTTCATTTACTTTGTTACCTTCCTTTTTTTTCCTTACAAAAGAAAAATACCCTTCTTACCTTAAAATAAGTGGGACCGACTACAATGTGTTTCTGAAGACAGAGATATCATTGATTCAATTATCGTAATGATGAGAAAAATAAAATTAGGTGCATATTGCAGATTTCCTTTTTCATGAATATTCTCATGTTTTCAACAAGAACAACTCCTTTTTATTTAGTTGCTCCTATGTAAGGCGTTATGAAGTTTGGGAAGAAGGGCAAGTTGAGTCCTCTGTGTATTGGTCCATTTGAAATTTTGGAGAGAGTTGGTGATAAGAGTGGGTTGCTCTAGTGGTGAGCACCCTCCACTTCCAACCAAGAGGTTGTGAGTTCGAATCACCCCAAGAGCAAGGTGGGGAGTTCTTGGAGGGAGGGAGCCGAGAGTCTATGGGAAACAGCCTCTCTACCCCAGGGTAGATGTAAGGTCTACGTAAACACTACCCTCACCAGACCCCACTAGTGAGGTTATACTGGGTTGTTGTTGTTGGTGAAGTGGCTTACATACTTGTAATGCCACCAAGCTTGTCGGTACTTCATCTGGTGTTTCATGTTTCCTTGCTTCGAAAGTATCATGAAAATCAATGACATGTGTTGGATTTCAGCTTGGTGCAGTTGGATGAGAACTTGTCATACGGAGAAGAGCTGGTGGCTATTTTGGATAGGCAGGTTCGGAAGCTGAGGTCGAAAGATATTGCATCAATAAAGGTTCAATGGAGAGGCCAACCGGTTGAGTAGGCGACTTAGGAGACCGAACATTACATGCAGAGCAAATATCCTCATCTTTTTGGCATTCCAGGTATGATTCTAAACCCGTTCGAGGATGAACATCTCTTTAAAAGGGGGAGAATGTAACGACGCGACTGGTCATTTTGAGCATTTGCATCCCGTTCGATAGTTTGAAGGCATGAGTAGCTTCGTATGATATATTATGAATTGCGTGAATCATCGGTTTTTGTTTTCGGGTGATTCAGAATTGATTTGATATGAGCACTATCAGATTTGATTACTGTATGTTTGGAAGAATAATGTCTCTAGCCAGCTTAGAATTTGGGCTATGGTTCTTGTTTGGTGAGAGAGCTCCACGACTTGTTGATTTAATGGATGGTTATAAGTCTCTGCATGTTTCTCTCATCATTGGTAGTGTACGAATGTTTAAATCAAGGTTTTAATTGATATGAGGTTTGTTTCCGGTACCAGATTTGTTATTGAGCAGTTATTGTAATCGAGAGTTATTGCTACGAGTATTTGAGTTATTTGGAAAAAATTATATGATTATATCTTGGGTTATGGTTATGGCCTGATACAACTTATTCAGACTTATATACAATGTGTAGATGCGAGAATTGGGTCTTATAATGGATTCAGGATGTTAGAAATTGGGTTTCTAGATTTATGGACTAAGGTTGAAGGAAAAATCTTCGGTTATATTGATTTGACGGACTTGTATGGATTAGGGTGACGTGGGATCACCCCCGGGCATGTACATGGTAAGTTTACACAATGATTTGATGGCTTTGGAACGACTCTTGGCACGTTAATGTTTAAGTAGGGAAGACTGTAACGACCCGACTTGTCGTTTTGAGCAACTGCATTCCGTTCGATGGTTCGAGGACATGCGTAGCTTCGTATGATGTATTATGACTTGCGCGAATCGTTTGTTTTAGTTTTCGGGTGATTCAGAATTGATTTGGAAGAATGATTCTCATATATATTACTCTGTATCACGCGAAAACCAAAACCAAAACCAAAACCAAAACCGACGATTCACGCAAGTCATAATACATCATACGAAGCTACTCATGCCCTCGAACCATCGAACGGAATACAAATGCTCAAAACAACCGGTCGAGTTGTTACAACTGGAATATACAATACTACTACTATAACTGCTTGAAATAGGAAATAGACATAATACAGTAAAGGTATAATACATAAGTTACCCCATGAATTACGGATCAAATCCTTGTTACACACTTTTTACACATAAAAATCACCTTACACACTCAACCTTTTTAAAGTGTAGCTAAGATACACCACTTTTTTCTTGATAAGTTCAAAACACGCACCAATAATATTATGCCACGTGTCATTAATTTTTAAAAATAAAATAATTTAAAATTACAAATATACCCCTCAACCTTCCCCTTCCATCTCTTTCTCTTCTCACCTCATCTCCATTCCCGCCGACCACCATAAAAGAAACCACAATTATCACCTTCCGATTACAAACTAAAATTAGATGCCCAAGCAGATTGATCCCAAGTTTTGGAGTCGGAATTCGAATCTAGCACAAAAATTATGACCCAAAACTCCAAACACTATTAAAGAAAGAGTTGTCAGAGTTTTATTAATTTTAACGTTTATCTAAATTCTCTTAATAAATGTTGACTCTGTAAGAGATCATTTCACAACAAAGATCTTCCACAACACATCAAGCTAGAGGAGAGGTCTCGTGTATTTCTTAAAAGAGAGCAGAGGATATTATTTTGCTCAACCTGATAAGAGGCTAAAGCAAACGATCATAATATCCTCTTCAAAAGTTAGGTAAAAATAAGAAACCAAACCCAGATCTATAGAATTTTCTTAGGTATAGAGTCCACTTAATTTTCTTTATCAATTTCTTCCAAAGCCTTTTTACATTGTTATTTTTCTTAAAATTATCGAGAGAGAAGATGGGAAAAAGGAGTGGGGGAAGAAGACAAAAATGGGGGAGGGGGAGTTTCGGTAAACTAACACAAAGGGGAGGGGGTCTAGATAAGATAAATCAAGGAAAGGATGAGGTTAAAGTAAAGGAACCAAATAATGTTTAAAAAAAAGACATTAAAATTTTGACACATGTCATTTAAACAATGACTGTGATAGAAAATTCACAGTTTTACGCGATTATATTTTTTGGTAAACACGCGCGTGTGACGTAGCAAAAGCAGTGTGTCTTAGATACACTTTAAAAGGGTCGAGTGTGTAAAGTAATTTTCGTCCGCAAAAAGTATATAACAGGGATTCAGTCCATAGTTTAGGGGGATAACTTATGTATTTTGCCTATAGTAAATAAGTAGGAAGGGGACTCCGTGTAGTGCCGATCGTAACATAGAAAGCATCTCGCCACAAAGTCTCCTCGACAACTGTTGTTGACGACCAATTTTGACCATCCCTTTTAAAATTAAATTAGTTATGCTTATTAATTAGCAAAAAATGTGGTAAAATATTTTTTAATCAATAATACCTATTTTTCTTAAAATATAACAGGAAATAATAATTAACATTATTGAATTAATAGCAATTTGATATTAAATATTTATAAATTATATTTTTACTATTTTGGATCTATTAAAATAACCTTTATATTTTAATAAATAGGTTTTACAATTAATTAATGAATTAGTCTTTGATTAATAATTATATCATTTTTATTACTTTAATTAATCAAAATTAGTTTCATAATTCAATAAATGAAGTGTTTTAAAAAAATAAACAATTAGTTACAGTAATTTATAATATATTTGATGATTATATTTTATCATATTTAATTAAAATTAATTAAGTTTAATTAAGTTATTTTATAAAGGAGTTAAAAGCTCAAAAGGCTACAATTGTAATTAATCAACTAAACTTAAAGTGGCTATGGTTTAAATTCCATTTCCACTGTTCTTGGCCTAAATACACAGGTCCAAACCCCTGACTGGTCCAAACCCACCTCCTCTATTCCATGATGGCAATCCATATCATCTCCTTTGAGCCAATGGCATCGTGCCACGTCGCCCATATCCCACACTCACAGAGAAAGCACAAATAGATCCGGACCGTTGATCCAACTCATCAATGATGCGTAATTAAATTCCGTTTTCCCTTTTCTTAATTCTTATTAAAACCCAATCTCCACTGACTTATTACAAGGATTCAACGATCGTTTTTTTTCATAAATAAATTTTTTATTAATTCCTATACCTTAAACTATTAGGGTCGTTGATCAAGCGATCCAACGGCCCAGATCCATTCTTGCACTTTAAACTAACCTAAGACCCCGAAGCCTTAATCATTTCGACCTTAACCCAGCTGCCCTCATTTCCCTTTCCTTCCTCTTTTCTCTCATCCCACCAGAACTCCGTCAATCAAAGTCCTAGAATAAATTTATGAAAGGTTACAGATTCAACCTCAAATCATTCAATGTGTCCCCTATAACCGCTAATCTCGCCGGCTTCCCTTCCATTTCATCGATTCAATTTGAATCGTGAACCTCAGAAACCCTAGACCTACATATGAAAGGTATTTCATCTGTATCTCCTTCGTTCTTTCAAATAAAGGCATACTTGATTGTGTCTTCGGCCTCATTATCACTATTGTTTGTCCAGAGGTCAAATACAGTGACCTCTGGACATTGGGGTTTGACCAACGATTTGATGGCTTCAACAGTTGGCTCTTCTCAAGTAAATCCTACACCACTTCCCTTTTTTTTCTTCTGATTTTCACCTATATTGCTATCATCATCCGTGCAATAGTCACACCCCACTACTAATTTGAAATCAATCGGAACCATATGACTTAAAGGCCACTATCATTCAATTCCTTCACCTAACATACGATCTACTACTATCAAAAACACAAAAGAAAGAAAGAAAAGAGTTAAAACTACAGGTTTTCTTACTAGGATACTCTCTAATTCTTCTGTTTTTTCCTTTCAATCTCTGGTTTGAGTTCAACGGCTGTGTTGGTCTTGAGTTTGGATCCCTAAACGACTATTTAATTACTCTTACTTAGTTTGCTGCCCTGCATAAGGTCAGTACATACTGACCCCCTTCTACTTTGAATTAATCATATAATTATATGTCTGTAATTAATTCCTAGTTGATTCTCTGATTGTTCGTGTTAAGAACTAAAGTTGTTCTTGTTAT